CGCTCTGTTCATCCAGAGGCTGATGGAGTGCCCAGAGGAGCTCGCCAGTGCAACAGCATCTCCCCTCTCATGTTGCCCGGCAACAAGTGAACCTAGGCCTGAGACAAAGGACAAGCTGGTGTGCCGACCCATTTCACACGCAAAGACAACTGATCTGGCAGATGAATCTTATTTCAGCATTGGTGATAGCAGTGTCCTCCACCACACCTGAGGCAGGAGTCTAGTTCAGGGGTTAGACCATGTAATTTATATATAGATCTGTCCTTCAACAGTCAGGTGAGCAACTCAAGATGAGCAGCTGCCTCTGCTTTCCATTGCTTAATAGCAAAACTATCTGTGGAGGGATGATGTTCAGGATGGGGCATGTAGTGACTTAAATTCTGTTTTGTTTTGTTTTTTTTTCCACTTGCAATGTGTGACATGGATCATGTGCCTGAATCTTCGGCATTGCTTGCCCTCTCTGTGCCTCTTTCACTGTGGCACCTGTCTTTTATGTTGGGAACTGCAATCATTTCATCCTGCGTTCACAGAAGGTTAGTCTTTTGTTGTTGTTGTTATGAGTAGTTAAGCTGTCTGCAACTTATGAGAAGGTTAGCCCTCCAGATGGTCCTGCCTGTGAAGCTCTGTTCAGCTCTTCCACATTCAAGGCTGTGGCTTCCTGGATCGACCCTCAAGCCTTTTGTTACCTTTGAATATATGATCCAGAAGGATCATTAATATCTTTTGATGGCCCACTGAAATCAGTGGAGCATATGTTACTCATGACTAACTGAAGTCCCATTGATTTGAATGGGCTTATGCTAAATTCTGAACCAACCTTAAGTCTGGATCTAAGTACAACTTCAGTTTGGATCCAAAAGTTTGTATTTGTTTGCAGGAGTGCGTGACATTACCGATGAGATGAAGTTGCATCTGCATCTTTTGCTTCACGGGGCAAATGTCAACTTATGGGGAGGGTGAGATTTTCAGCTAAGAAATTAGAGAAGAGAAAGGGGACCCCCCATTCTATGGCCCCAAGAGGAATTCCCCACTTTGCAGCCACTTTGATAATTAAAATAGACCACAGGATTTATGTTTACGAATTTCCATTCTTCTCTCTCTGCGCCAGCATTTTCAGTTTGGAACTGGCTTAGCAACATTTTTTTTTACTGGACTCTTTTCTTGATCACGTGTCCTCAAGCACTTATCTCGTGGATCACATGTGGCCTTCAGCTTTGCAACATGTGACCCTCTGTGACCTCTAGAAGCTTGCCAGTGAAGGAATCGCATGTCTTGCCAGAATGATGGAGCAACCACAACAAGCACTAAATTAACCGAAAACCACTGGCAGTCATTAGGTGCGCAAGGGAGCCAATCACAGAGCACCAGCCTTCCCCAGCCTGATGCCCATCTGACCTTTCACACCACAGCTCTCAGTGTTGCTGACCATTGACCATGCAGGATGAAGCTGATGGGATCTCAAGTTCAGGATACTAGGCTGCAGAAGGTTGGGTTAGAACATTTCTAGGACTGACCCTCGAGGCATTAAGCGCTGTGATCCGGCTGATGTTCCCTGGAAGCCTGCCTACTGGTCTCTGCTAACATCCTCTTCACAGCAGCTCGATCACAGTGGCAGGGAATGTGATCACTGCTTCGAGAAAATGAAGATGCCCGGGGTCCACACAAAGTTTTCCTTTGCTTCCAGTACTTTCAGTGCATCAATGGCTGTGGGTGGTGGGAGTTAACAGAAGGAGTGTGGGGAAAGAAAGGTTGGTGAAAGAGACAAAATGACTGTTGAGTAAAAAGAGCCTGACGAGATGGGTTGATAGGGATTGATAAGGATGACACAGAGACATCGCAGAGTGAGCAGGAAGGAGTGAATGAGAGGAAGACGGAGATACACGATAGCTTGCGTGTGTGCATGAAAGAGATACTGGATGATGGATAAATGCTTGTGTAGAGGAGTATGTGGGTGTAAATGGAAGAAAATGCAGAGATTCTGTGTATGAGGAAGATAGAAAGTACAGATGATGGATGAGGAGGAGGAGGGACAAAAAGAAGGAAAGGGGGCTGAAGGGATGGCAGAGAGAGAAAAGTTCACACCTGCGGTCTTGGCTCTATCCACCTCCAGTATGCACATGTTGATCACTTTTTCTCAAGCTAATTTGGCCCTCAGTATCAAAAATGTTGCCCACTGTGCTGCCAAATTGTAAATCTGGAACCATGAGCTGCATTCATTATTAAAAAAATATGTTTGGAAAGCACCTAGATTTCTATACAGTACAATAAATGAATAAATACCCAGCATGCTGTGACCAACTGATTTTTAAAATTTTCATTTATTTGGGCTATACTATATGGTGACCTGTTTATATCTGTCCTTATATTTTCATTACAAGCTATAATGACATATAATGATTTTAATGCGATCCTTGAGGAATAAGAGTTTGCAACTCTCACAGGATCCCTCTGTAGTCTAGATGAAAACATGTTCTCCTTCTGTTGACATATGCCAAGTCAAAAGTCAGCCACATCATACAGCACACACAGATACCTCTAGTAATCAGGGCAGTTCACTCTAGCAATGTGGATAGACTCAGATAATGCCCTCTTATCATAAAAGGCCATCCCGTGCCTCTCCAGACAAGAGAAAGACCTTCTACCTTCAGGAAGCTCTTTGTTCCAATAGTTGCCTGTGACCTGCTAAAAGCAGGAACCCCAAGAAGCCCCCCCCCACCAGTGCTTAAAACTGATGTTCTAATTAATGCTCCTGGTGCATCAATTAGTAGGCATGACACCACCATTCCATTGTGTTGTTTTAACAAATTGTGTGATAAGGCGAAAGAAGTGATGAGAAAACACGGGAGTGTTACAAATGTCAAGCAATGGCATGTCATTTATCCCATGAATTACACAGGGTGATGGCACCACAAAATGCCTCTCTGGAAGCAACCCCAAAGTCATTAAAGTACTCCTACTTTCTTCACTTTGTGGTATGTAGAATATGTGGTAGGAAAATCGCAGTGTAGAGTTGGCTTTGGCTCTCCTAGGGTTGGATAGAGTCATCACTAAGGAGAATGTGAGCTAGGCCTGCACGCCTGTGACAGCTTTTGTGTGCGCTTGCATGTGGGTTCTTTCTGCATTTTTTATATACCCGTCATGCCAAAGTTTTATAGCAGCTCATCATGCCTTTTGTGTGACACCTGAATATAACACTTCTGCATTAGCTGCTACCAAATTTCCAGTTTTGAGCATACCCACCCACCAACCTCCGCAACTTTATGTTATGTCTAAATGTCATGGAATGTAACTCCAAGCAACAAAGCATGTGTGTGCATATAAGGAAAATACAGAGGTCTCCCGCAGCAGTCCACACGAAGTCTGCAAATTATAATGGGATAGCACTATGCCATTGCCTATTTTCCTTCAGAAAGCAAACCTTGCTTGCAATTTATTTGAAAGAGTTTATAATAAACAGAGAAAGAGGTTACAAATGGCAATGTTCATTTCTTACATAAGTCTTGAATTGATTTCAAGAATGTTAAATGTGATGTGCAATTAATGAATGGTATACTGGATCAGAGAGAGAGAGAGAAGGTGAGCTTAAGTTAGAAGAGTAGACACTTCCGAGTCTGTGTTTTCTTCCTCCTTAATTTTGTGGGACACTTAGGATGTCCTAATATTAGGTTTGCAATTAATACTTTTCAATAATGGCTCAGGCAGGTCTGCTTGCAGGATGCAGAAGTTGCGAAGCAGAGGCTCCCGCACAATAGACAAGCAGATGCCTAATTGCAGGTCACAGGCCATGCCAAGTATGAAGACGGATGTATCTGAATCGGAGGCAATTTCCAGTTATCCACTTCCCACGAGACAGAGATATATTTCTGTAATATGAGCCATCCATTTTATTTAAACCAGAGCCCTTTCATAATGAATCCTCACCACAGGTTTTGAAAAGAGCAGAGAACTAGCAACAACAACAAGAAGAAGATAAATGAAACAGGCTTGTCAAATATATTTCCTGAAAAGACAGGCTAACAGCCAGTCTTAGCAGTTCCCTTCAAGAGCAAGTTACAAGGAGATGGTTTTCCTCCGGAGTCTTCCAGGGGCACAGAACTGCTCCATCCTGGCCACTGAGAAGAGGGGCTGATGGAGAGAGAAGCAGGGAGGAGAAACACCAAGTCAACCCCGTGCGGGGGGGGGGGGGTTGCGCAGATTCAACAGAGGAGGAAGCCTCTTTCTGCAGCTGCTCCTCGAAGGCCGCGCGTAATCAGGACGGTTCTGCGCGTTGCAGCTGCCGCGGGGAAAGGCTGGGAGCGCGCGGGCTGGGCATCCGTGGCCGTGGGTGATGGTGCGCAGCCACCATCCAGCCTGGCTGAGCAGGAACTTTTCCTGCGGCATGTTCCCGCCCCTCTCCCTTTTTCTCTCCCCCGCCCCCTTGTTTCTTACTTTTCTGCCAGCCCTCTGGAGCCCTGGCAAACTTTTAAAGCCCTTCTCTTCCTCTCGCTCTGGCTTGCAAGGGCTGGTTGGATGTCTTCGGGCAATGACGAGTTTCGGAGGGGTGGATAACATCGCTGGTTGACATAGTAACTCCGCTCCTTCGCTCAGTCGGTAGCTGAGGGGCTCTTGCAAGGGTTGCGGCGGCGGCTGGAGCTCGCCTGCCTGCACGGGAGGGAGCGATCCCGGCCGAGGCGAAGAAGCGGACGCGAGACTCGGTGATCCGCGGCGCGCAAGCCCAGGCGCTCTCCTTGCGCTGCGCCTCTGGAGAAAGGAGGGCGCGGCGCTGCAAGCGACGACTCGTCCCCTCCAAGGAAGGCGACCTTCTTCGCGCCACTTTTAAAACTGAATCCTGCGTCGTCTTCCTCCCGAAGGCAACTCTCGCTGCGGAGCCGCGCGCGTGTGCGCCAGGGGGGCGCGAGCTGAGCGCACGCGGCCCGTCTTGGCCGCGCTGCTTGCGCGCCCCTCTCCAGAAGGAGGCGGAAGAGAGGCGCCTTCGCGGGGACCCAGGCGGGGAGAGCAGCATGAGTCGCAGCCCGCCTCGGCGACACGGCTCCCCGGGCACTGGCGCCAGGAGGAATGACAGCCAGGACTACCTGCTGATGGACTCGGAGGCGGCCGAGGAGAACTGCATGGCATCCTACGCGTACTACCCCGGGTGAGTGGCTTTCCCACCCGAGGGAGGGCGCGCATCGGGGGAGGGGGCGAAGCTCAGCAGCGGGGCGAGGCGTGGAGGGCGACGCCGGGCGAGCGAGCGAGCGCGGGCAGGGGCTTCGGGCGCGCACACTCGCGCGCCCCGGCTGCAAAAGGACGCAGGGACGCGCTGGAGAGAAACCTAGCCATCCTTTCTAGAAAGAAGGGCGGGTTGTTATGTCCATAGTGGTGATGGGGCGCTGTGGGGTGATGATGATGCGTGGGTTGCCCTGCCGTCCCTTCCCCTCACAGCTCGACCGCTGCACGACAGGCAGAAGTTCGTTGGGTGAAGCTCAAGCGTGGTAGATTTGCACCTGTTGCGTTTACTTAAAAAAAAAAAAGGCGGGTGGAAGTCACTTCATTTCGTGTTTGTGTGTGTGGTGGGGAGGAGAGATGATATCAAATCTAGACGTAAGGGTATTTTCTGTAATGGAAATGGCGTGGGGTGGGTGGAGGAAAATGTGGGATAGGATGGGCTAAGAGGGGTTGGTACAGACACGCAGGATTAGGAACGCGGCTGTGTAGCTTCTGTGCAAGAAGTGAAGGGGGAGGGCTGGTAAACAGGTGCCTGGATAGGTAAGCACCGGGATTCCTGTCCAGCTCCGGCCAGAAAAGTGGTCCCTCTCTTCATAACAGGGTGCTGTGTGCGCCTGAGGGTGTCTCTCTCTCTCTCTCTCTCTCTGTGTGCGTGTGCGTGTGCGTGTGGGAGAGCAAGCGAGCGAACGAGAAGGGTCATGATAAGGGAAGGATTTCCGATGGTTGTGGAGCAGAAATGCCTGCAGCCCAGCTCCGTAGGGGGCGCGTGGAGGGTGAGGGAATAACGGGGGTGGAGGGAACCTGTGTAAGATCTGCAGAGCAGAGTTGGCCGGCCCCTCGCAAGCATGCCCCTGGGATGGCAGTAGCAATCCTGCCAGACCCTTTGGGCTGCTGGCACCCTTGCCTGTGTTAAAGGGGAGAGTTTGCACAGCTCTTCATCTATGGCAGCAGCTGCTTTTTGCATAGTGATGGAGAAAGTACTGGAGACCGATTGCTGGGGAAGAGTGGGTGGGAAAGTGAGGCTCAGAAACAGTGCTGATGGGACAAGGCATATAAAGGAGAATCACGGGGCAACTGGACAAAGCAAATGCCATTATGTATTTATTTGTAGCATGCATGCACTATGTGGTTTACATATAAATATTAAAATCACATGCAAAATAATAATAAAGTCATATTTAAAACAGTGATGTTAAAATCACATTTCAAATACAATGTTTCCAATGATTCTAATCACAATAGTAAAAATAATACAGAGCCATGCAAAGGTGGTGAAATGAATCGGGAGGTGATTGAAAGACCACATTTTCTGCCTCTCAAAGAGTTTTTCAAAGGGAAAATGACAAGTTGCTGAGCTGTGAAGAGAGGGAATAAGATGAACCTGGGCAGATTGCTAGGCTATGCGAGGCGTGTTTGTTAGCACAGGATAGTGAGGGGAGTGTATCTCTGTGAGCTCTCGTCCAGAGATCATATAGTACAGACTTACCTTAAGCATTGTGAACTGTTGCAAGCTTCACAAAAGATGCCAGTGAAATAATGTGTACAATAGTTCCTTCCAATAAAATCACGGGAAAGGGTGGATTTTCTCCTCCTCATTCTTCCAGTTATGCAGAATGGGAATTTCTGTTTTCACAAATGATTGAGGGTGCAAACTAGATGCAAAAATGTGATGGCTGATGGAATATTGGAAAACTCCCTTATGAGAAAGGGATAGAGCCTCAGGGACTGTTTAGCTTTGAAAAAAGGGGACTGAGGAGAGATGTGATAGAGGGATCCATGGTGTGGAGGAAATCAAAAGAAAATGATCATTGAAATACTAGAACTCAGTAAGGTCATCCCATGGAGCAGATTGGTGGCAATTCAGGGCAGAGAAAAGGAATTGCATCTTCATTGGGTTGCTGGTGCTTCTGCACTCTTGTGCTACTTGTGAGTTTCCCAGCTGGCTGACCACTGTGTGAACAGAACCTGTTGACTCATTGGACCTTTGGCCTGGTGTGGTCAGGTGCTTCTTATGCTCTTATGCTAGAAGATGCCAGCAAGAACATAGAAACATAGAAACAGAGCGAGTCAGAAGGGTCCTCCTAGTCTGACCTCTGGCACCAGCCGGCTCCGCTCACGACATGCCCACCACATGGACATTCAGCCTATCCTTGAACACCCGCACTGATGGGACCTCAACGACCTCTCGTGGAAGCCCATTCCACACCCTCGGGGTCCTGACTGTCAGGAAGTGCTTCCTGGCATCCAAATGGAACCTTGGCTCCCTGAGCTTTGCTCTGTTGGAGCGTGTCCTGCCTTCCTCTGCAGGGGAGAACAGGTCTCTACCCATCTCCATGTGACATCCCCTCACATACCTGTATGTCACCAACATATCCCCTCTGAGTCTCCTCTTCTCCAGGCTGAAGAGACCCAGTTCCCTCAGTCTCGCCTCATATGGCATCCCCTGCAAACCGGCCACCAACCTTGTGGCCCTACACTGCACTGACTCTAACCTGGCTATATCCTTTCTGTAATGAGGGGCCCAAAACTGAGCATAATACTCCAATTGCGGGCACACCAGAGTTGTGTAGAGTGGTAGTAATACCTCTCTTCATCTAGAAGCCACACTTCTGGCTATGCAACCAAGGGTGGCATTCACCCCCTTGACCACCGCATCACACTGCTGACTCATGTTTAGCCTGCAGTCAACCAGCACCCCAAGGTCCCTTTCACAAGTGTTGCTCTCCAGCCACTTGTCCCCTAACCTGTACTTATGACAGCTATTCCTATGCCCCAAGTGCAAGACCTTGCACTTATCCACATTGAATGCCATCCTGTTGTCTCCTGCCCACTTACATAGTCTGTCCAGATCCTTTTGGATCTGGAGTACCTGCTCCGCAGGTACTCCAGATGCCTGGACAGGTGCGTGCAAGTGTATTATGGCACAGCAGGTGCTTCTTGCTACCAGCAATAACTTAGCCCTGCATTCTGACTGATGGCCTCACAAGGTGGGTACTTGGTCAGCACAGCAGTGATCCAAATGCCCCAGCACCACCACAAAGCATCTCTTTCCCCCACCCATCTCAATGCAATGTCTGCTGGTAAGGATGAAGAGACCCTCTTTTCCAACTTACTGGGATGTAGCCCCTCAGACCTGGACTGAGAGGCCTTCAAAGGTCCAGTTCAGGCCTTTAAGGGTCCCAGTTCAGCTCAGAGGAGTTTCCCAGAATGCTACACCCCCTTCCTCTGACCCACCCCCTCTTTTCAGCTGTGGATGATTTGGTGGTTTTTCTTTCATGCTAAGAGTTTGGAATGAGGCTTAGATAGTAGCATTAAGAGTTTTAAACTTAAATATGCTAGTATTTGGGGAAGACGTTCTTGGCTACACTTGCTTTGTTTTCAGCCCAGCTCAGCACTGGACCCTGGTTTGTGAGTGCTTCTCCAAAATGAAATTCATCCCTTAGACCAACTTTCCTCAACCTGGTGGCCATCAGAGACGTTTGGACCACAACTCCCAGGATTCCCATCCTGCAGGGCCCTTGGCTGGGAATTTTGGGTTTTGCAGTCCAATTGTGTCTGGAAGGCACAAGGCTGGGGAAAGCTGCTTAGAATGAAAGAACTACTATAGGTCCGTGCTAGGGCAAAGTTCAGTGGGAGTAGCCACATTCTACATTATGTATTTATTTACTACATTTCTATACCGTCCAATAACTGAAACAGAAAATCTGGACATGAAAAAGGAAGGGTGAATGCTTCTAGATGCATAGAAATGTATTTACTGATGCCCACATATTTTGAATATAAGTTCTTCTGCAGGGCATTCTTGCTCCAGCAGAATAGCAGTGATGCCCACCATTTGGATGGTTTTAAAAGAGAATTGGGCAAATTTATGAAGGATTATGGCATCTTGGCTACACATCTTGATGGCTGTAAGCTACCTCCACTACCAGAGGCAGCATGCCAGCATCCCTCACTTGCTGGTAACATGGGCTGGAGGCTGCTGTTTCACTCCTGTTCTGCTTGTAGGCTTTCCACAAGCAGCTGGTTGATCACTTTGTGAACAGAAATATGGACTAGATCCAAGAAAGGCTTCTTCACACAGTGCATGGTTAAACTGTGGAATCTGCTGCTGTAGGATGTAGGAATAGCTACCACTTTGGATAGCTTTAAAGGGAGGGTAAGTAAGTTCATGGAGGAGACGGCTCTCCATGGCTACTAGTCCTGATGGAGATATGCTGCCTTCAGAATCAGATGCAGGATGTTGCTGAAGAACATGGGTGAGAAGGTGCTTTTGCCCTCTTGTCCTGTTTCCGGTTTTCTCATGGGCAGCTGGCTGGCCTCTGGGTGAACAGAATCCTGGATTTGGTGGATAATCCTAGATTATCTGGTCCAGTATGGCTGTTACGTTTTTATGTTCTAGAGCCGGAGACCAAATGCTTCCATTGGCTGAACTGAACCCAGCAATGAAATTTGGTGGTACCCAAGAGTGTCCCTGAATTTAGATTTTAAAAGCATTGGGGTCAGTTAATAAACTTTGGAGCACCTGGACACTTTTTCTTTCCACATGCCACAATCTCCCGCAGACCCCTGCTACTTCAAGCTGGATGTACCAACGTGCCCACTGGCAAGAGTAATGAGTGAAGACTGTCTCGCTGACTTAGGACTCGTTCTGACTGAGGTGGTAAACCTGTCTCTAAACTGTTCCATTGCAGACTGGAGGACTGGACACAGACATGCCAGTGGACTCACTCCTCTGTATAGAAATCCAGATGTCAGAAAGAGTATGCAAGGACAGACTTCTCCCCAGGATTGTTGTTTTCTCTGTACAGCGGTGGAACATGCCAGCAGGAATGTTCTACCACTGTCTGGAGTCTGTTGGACCATTCAGCTCCAGGTTTATCGACTGAATCAAAATTAGGCAATTCTGTGCATGAAAGCAACAACTTGTTG